ATATGCTGACTCTGTAAACCGCTTAGAGAGGGCTGAAAGCCCTATGAAGCGGTATATAAGTCTAACTGCTATTGCTATTGCTAATTTGCTTTTTAGGAACATTTCGAAGCTCCGACTGATCGCTATAACCTTATAAACATTTTTGCTCTTTTAGGCCTGTGCAGAATTCAATCCAGTCTGCAATATATGAACATTTGGGATGCTGCCAAACGCATGTTCCTGACTGGCATGGCCTGCGGGATAGGATTACTTTTGAAAGCAATGGCCCTTCGCTTCCTGAAAGTTCGAGCCGAGAGCGTGAACCCGTAGCAGATGGTAGATCTCCCTCTCCCCTAGAGGTGCTCCCACCATACTGCTCCACTTCCTTTCCTCATCGGAATAAATCTGACGTATTGCTGAACCAGGTCTACATTATGGAAGAAAGACAGATGGTAATTTATTATTTTGCTTCGTAAGAGCGTGGTCAATATTCTCTCGGCGAGCCGAGGGATGAGAAACTGTTTTCAGCGAGTGGGTACGACATAAACTTTTTAAGTGGGTCCTTCCTACAAACTGACAGCTGTCAGGAACTTGTGCATTCACAAATGACAGTGGTGGTAGATACCTCAGTCCCACTAGGTCTATTTATCAACATGTTAATTTGACGGCATTGTTTCCTCCTTCTCGTGCTCTCCAAGATGTTCTTCACCTTCAAAAGTTCTCTTTAAATTTTTTTTCTAGGCAGGTTCACACACTTTCAAACCCAATACAGATAGTCCTCGACCTATGACCGGTGGGGTGGCCTAGCGACCCTTTGCTAGGACCATTGGCCCGACCTTAGGAGTTCTTACGACCCGGATTAGAAGTTTTGAGGGCCGCTTCCTCTCACAGTCACATGACCACAATTCGAGCACTTGGTACTGGGCCACAATTCACATCTGTTTGCGGTGTCCTCTGGTCACGTGACCACGATTTAGGACAGTTTTCTCCCAAACTGGCCTTTATGTTCAATTTTTGGCAAAACTGGGCCCACAGTAAGCCATTGGTTCGCTTAACAATCACAGCGTTCGCTTAACAACTTCCATAAAAAAAGATCATATGTCAGATTGCTCACAACCTGTTTTACAACAATCATGACTTAAGACCATGATGGGCAGGCTCTATTACGGTCGTAACTCAAGGAGTACCTGAATTTAGCTCACCTTTCCTATTATCTAAGAAGTGCCCTATGGAATCTACTGTGTAACATGCCGGTTGCACATGTATTTATTTAAAACCTTCAAGTCACACCTAGAATACTGCATCCAGTTTTGGTCACCACACTATAAAAAAGATGTTGAGACTCTAGAAAGAGTGCAGAGAAGAGCAACCAGAATGACTAGGGGACTAAAACATACGATGGACGGTTGCAGGAACTGGGCATGGCTAGTCTAGTGAAGAGAAGGACCAGGGGAGATAGGAGAGCAGTCTTCCAATATTTGATGGACTGCCACAGAGAGGAGGGAGGGCAATCTGTTTTCCAAAGCCCCTGAAGGGCAGAGAAGGAATAATGGATGGAAAC